CCGCTCTACGCGGAGGCGATCGCGATCTTCTGAGTCAAAATCGGCCCCATCAGAAGACTCATTCTGACGTCCCTTGCGTCCATCACGGCGCTTCATAGGCTTCGGTGGCTGCTGTTCTTGTGCCTCTAGATTTTCTAGCTGCTCCAGCGCAGACATATCCCAAGACCACTGGTTCTTCTTAAAATCTTCTGCTCCCTCTTTTGATTGGGGTTGACCGGATTCCCCTGGATCGCGTCCTGTGAGTTCTGTTGTATCCGGCTGAACGTCTTGTTCCAGCTCGGATAAAACCGAGTCCCCTAATTGCTGGAACTTTCTAGTATACTCAGAAGGTGATCGGGACTGCTTGGGTTGTGAAGGCCCGGGAGAATCGTTATATTCTCTGGTTATTCGGGGCTTTGGCTGGGTGTCACCAGGTCGAGAGGTTTTGCAGAATGGACACACTTTTTTTGTGGCAAAAACCAATGCCATGCACTGAGGGCATTTCCAGTCATCGCGGGCCATTGGATGGTCCCTAGTCGCCCTGCTCTGATACTGGCTCTGGAATATGTTTGTTCTCTTCTCAGGAGCGAATGGGTTATCTTCCTCAAAAGCCGTGTTTCTTTCTCGAATAGACGTATTCCTCTCCTGATAACGTGGGGGTTCTCTTGATCGCCTCATGTATCCACTTGGATTCTCTTTTTCAAATGGGTTTCTCTCTTGAGGGGGCGTATTCCTCTCCTGATAACGTGGGGGCTCTCTTGATCGCCTCATGTGACCACCTGTATTCCTTTCTTCAAACGGATTCTTCTCTTGAATGGACGTCCTCTCCTGGTTCCGTGGGGTTTCTCTCGACCACCTCATGTGGCCACTTGTATTCTTTTCTTCAAACGGATTCTTCTCTTGGAATGACGAGTTCCTCTCCTGATTCCGTGGGGATTCTCTTGATCCCATCATGTATCCCTGATTATCCCGAGGGCCCACGCGCCGCACGAACGGTTTTCTCTGCTGGTTTGATTGCTCCGAGTTCCATTGCTGGTTCGACTGTTCTCGGCTCCGTTGCGATGGTGCAGGTGCAGGTGAAGGCGCAGGTGCTGGCGGCGGCGGATGGCTACTGGCGACAAGGGTTTGGCGCATCGCTTGTTCTGCGAGACTTAAGCCTGCCGATGGCGTAGTTTGTTTAGGACCCCATCGGCTGCCGAACTTGGGCTTCGCCGGCGCTGGATTTGAAGTAGTGCCATCACTATTACCATTTGATTGGTCTGATGAGTTCAAATGCGCCGCGGACGACCGTAAGGCCCGTCGAACTGTAAGAGCTGTTAAAGAGGGTGTTCGGTAGGCTGAATTCGACCACTCAGCCCGACGCGATAGCTATATTTTAGTTAGATAATGTCTCAGCACTTGACAACTGCGAACTTACCCTGCAGACTGGCCGACGATGCATCATTCACTAGTCTCTCCACATCTAGATCCGTCAACACTTTTTTTCCCTTTGCAGAAGTTCTAGAGGACGAGCTTATGTCACTGCTTATGTCAGCCATGAAGGTCAGGGGCCCCAAGAATTTACCCCATCACGTAATCACATGCTTATATAAGATACCCGCCGGAAAAGTCACGTGGTTCGGCATTTTCATCGAATCAGAGGGCAGATGGCGCAATAACGATAAGCGGGCTGGATATAAAGTCTGGAGTCTCCGTATTGTGTCCCTGTCGATAGTTTTGGTCACAATCGAGTTATTTGAACCATGGAGACTGAGGTGATTGACATGATGGATAAGGACGGCGGTGCCCTCCGCACCGTCAAGGATTTGGCCGCGGGTGCAGCGGGTGGAATGGCCCAAGTCATCCTCGGTATGTGTGCACCCTTCTTTGTTTGAATTCCGGGGAAAAGCCATGGATATCATGAGATGAGAATTTTGCCATGAGTGGTGGTTTCTTGGAGAAATATTCAAACATGCAAAACTAAAACAATCGCTAACAAGAAAATAGGTCAACCCTTTGGTATGTGATCTGCCTAAAGCACATTTCACGAGGCACTGATTAACAATTCGGCAGACATTGTCAAGGTGCGCTTGCAAACTACCACTCAGTACAAGAGTGCGCTAGAGTGCGCAACCCAGATCTTCAAGAAGGAGGGTCCCGCGGCCTTCTACAAGGGCACACTGACCCCGCTTATCGGTATCGGTGCTTGCGTGAGTTGCCCCCACGGCCAAGGTCCATTATAAACAAACCCTCTAACTAATTCAGGTGTCTGTCCAATTCGGCGCTTACCATGAAGCGCGTCGCCGCTTGGAAGAGCTGAACAAGAAGAAATACGCCAACTCGGCCCTTTCTTACACCCAGTATTACATGGCCGGTTCATTTGCCGGTCTCACCAACTCTGTGCTGTCAGGCCCAATTGAGCATGTGCGTATTCGCTTGCAGGCACAGCCGCACGGCGCCGGCCGTTTGTACTCTGGCCCCATCGACTGCGTGAGCAAGCTGGCCGCGCAGGGTGGTGCCTTCCGCGGTATTTACCGCGGCCAGGCGGTTACTCTCCTCCGTGAGGCCCAAGCGTACGGTGCTTGGTTCATGGCCTTTGAGTTCATGATGAACCAGGATGCCAAGCGTAACAATATCAAGCGTGAGGATATTTCCAAGGCAAAGATTGCCACATACGGTGGTCTGGCTGGTGAGGTCCTCTGGCTCTCTAGCTACCCGCTCGATGTTATCAAGAGTAAGATGCAGACCGATGGATTCGGCGCGCAGCAGAAGTATAGCACCATGCGCGACTGCTTCAAGAAGACCTATGCCATTGAGGGCCTCGGTGGTTTCTGGAAGGGTATTGGCCCTACCCTGCTAAGAGCTATGCCTGTTTCTGCTGGAACATTCCTGACGTATGTTTTCCCTTTACTTTGCTCGCTCATAATCCTTGCGTTTCTAGAATTGCAGCTAACTCCTCCCCCCCAGTGTCGAGTTGGCCATGCAGGCACTCGGTTAAAGGTTCGGTGAGGACATATTTTATGATGAAAGTTGACGCATTTCGTTTTTGTTCGGTTTCACTTGAATTCTTTGATATCCAGGGCTCGTTAAATACCCCACAGTTGAATGGAGGTCCACTACAAAAGTGAACGGCATTTCAAAGCTTATAGAGATCTATATTCATACCTGACATTGTTGAGCAATTGTGAGGTTAGATATACGTATACAGTGTTTCCAATACATAAAGTTAAGATTCCTACCCAATGGGAAGTCCCCCCAAAAGTCCCACCAAGCAGTAGCAAGATACATAATCACAAGTATGGTATTCTTCCCAAGGCTTTTGATTACATACATATCCAATGATTCAAATTGGAGAGAAGATCTCTGATGTTGGAGGGTTATATTGCCTGAGGCATTCATGCAGCAGCCTCGGCAGGCAAACCCTGATGTCATCTGTCCAGGTCATTGTCAACTTATCCTGCTTCGACCTTCAATATTCCCAATTGCAACAACTATGCTCCGTGGTCATATTTGAATGTTCCGGTGAATATTCATTGTGTAACTCACGATATATCACTTCATTTCCCTCTACTCGAATCTCGCCCTATGCTTACGACCATGGCCACACCCACCGCGCGACCTCCCGCCCTCGTATCGGCTGTTCTCCTCATATACCCTGCAACATTATTACTGGGGTCTTTGTTCTCAACAATATCACCAACAGCGCGTCATTCCCGAGATATGTCCGGCCCCTCCCCACAGCCCGCAAGCCCTCTGGCCCCGTCCCTGGCCGCAGACATGCACCTATCCGATGGCCCCGTCAACTACTTCGCCCGAAAGAATAATATGTTCAATGTCTACTTTGTGAAGATCGGATGGCTATGGACCACAGCCGCATTTGTCTCGCTCCTCCTGTTCCAGCCCCTATACTCTTCATCTCGCCGGGAATCTTCCTCCCAGCAAGAAGCACGTTTCCGACGCACCCTCCAAGCCATTCTACGTTACGCACTCGTTACAACAGTGTGGTATCTTGCAACACAATGGTTCTTCGGGCCGGCAATCATTGATCGTGGTTTCGTGGCCACAGGCGGCAAATGTGAACGGGCCTTCGAAGAAGCCGGGAAGATGGCCGCTGGGCAGAGCAGCCCCACCGACTTAGAAACACTATTCACAGCAGCGACGTGCAAAACCGCCGGTGGCGCATGGAGGGGTGGGCATGATATTAGTGGACATGTGCTGATGCTAGTTTTGGCCACAGCATTCCTGGCTTTTGAGGCTGTTGGGGCTAACGCACCCGCATGTTTGTCGCGTTTTAGTTCCACTGGGGACGCGGGACGTGAGCGCAAGGCCAGTGATGCGGATGATACTCCAGTGATTGATTCAACCGAGACTGGCGGGCTCGCAAGAACGTGGTCACTCCGTCTTGTTTGGGGTGTTGTTGGCCTGGGCTGGTGGATGCTCTTCATGACCGCGATCTGGTTTCATACTTGGCTAGAAAAGGTGCGTGAATTCTTGAGCAAAATCCTACGGTAAACATTTATTTTGGCTAACGATTTCTCCAGTGGTCTGGTTTGTCCATTGCTTTGAGTGCTGTGTATGCCATCTATATACTCCCAAGACGGATAGTACCGTTGAGGGACGTGATTGGACTCCCGGGAGTATAGATGTCTGTCTTGTCTTCGAGAACTGATTCTCAGCAGCTGTGAATATACCGAACAATAATGATAGATTGCATTGTTTTTGGGCACGGAGAAATGCTCAAGCCGTCTTCATCTTACCGTCTTCATCATGATGTTGAAATGGTTATACATGGAAAAGTCCTCTGTACGTTTTATGCCTTGTGCTGTTTTCATTCCAAAGTTCTACCTTTGGGCCTATATTGTGCATCGTAGAGTGAGCAGCCTGGCATGTCTACTCGGTTCTCAGAATGTCAAACTTTGCTTATGTTTTCATATCCCTATATCGTGCCCCATTGAAAATCATTACCCTACACCTTTATAGAACGGTCCATCCGAAAAATACATGGAGCCCAGAAAGAGACTGTTCATCTCTTTGAACTTTGTTCATTCCCGGGGTGATGGCATTGGTTCCTGTCCCAGGAATCCAGATTGAAATGCTAGAACGTGTCAAAATACCGAACTCATCATATAGGCTGGTTTGACTTACCCCCCGGAATCAACGCAGACGCATACATCACCCGCGTGATAGGCCTCAAGTCTACTGGTGTCAGATCATCGGAGATGGATAGCTGCATGTATGGATCCCAAGCAGCAATGATAGCATCCGAGTAGCATTTCAAGTCAACCGATTCTTTTTCCGCATTCATCTCTGACTGGCATTGGATGCCCATGCAGGTACCGAACTCGCGAAAGGCCAACCGAAATCGGATATTGCGCTCCAAATACTGATTGATTTCGAACAGATTGTCTAGAATCATTTCCGATCAGCTTGGTTCTTGTCCTATATTTCTTCGGACACAAAGGCGACTGACATATTTGCTCGAAGCATTTCCCCGCCAAGTCAGCAGCCCATCTCTCTCGTCCGGAAAACCAATGTGCCGTCCATAAAGTCATACCCAAATCCAAAGGATCACTTGAAACAAAGTGCTCTCCTTTGCGCTCCATCGTGCGTCTGTAGTCACCGATCTCCTCAGCCAAGACGGCGCCATCACCTGCTTCCATGGCTGTATCTTGTAGGAGTCGAAACACAACAAAGCCATCAATCGGATCGAGATTACCCTCTGACTTGACCATTGGCTCTGATAAATCCATGCTCATTTTCCATATCATTCTCGGTCGAGCTGCCGCGCGATCAATAAAAAACCTTGGGTGTATCGCTTTTGCAAGCTCTACGGCTTGCCTGTTGTACTTCACGTCACCCGATGCTTTGGCCATTCGGTTCAAGGCAAACATCCAAACCGTTAGGTAATGATGGTATTGCCCATCGCCGTCTGGGCCGTGAGCATCTGTCTTGCCGATCCTCAATCCACCACTAAGTGGGTTCTCGTCTGTTGCTCCTCGCAGTCTTGAGTGGCCATCTCGCGTTCTACCCAGAACGTCATGGACAGTCTCAATTAGACGACCAGCCAGTACTAGATAACGATCGTCGCCAATGGTGTCATTACCAGTTCGCCTATACTCGCTGTGCATCGTGAGGAAGTTGACAACCCCGAAGGCATCTGTCCATAGATATCGCCCTCGATGACCGCCTGATCTTGGTGGCGGAGTCCAGTCTTTTGGGTCGCCGATGCTGCTAAAGCTCCCATAAAGAGATTCCATGGCCTGTCCGAAGCGGTCTAGGCGTGGTGACGGACTGCAGATTGGGAGAGCCATTGTCGGGGTTTGTGCCTTCGAAATAAGACGGGCATATGCGTAGGTGCTGGGGTGAATGGTTGCTTGTCTAGCGGTGTGCTGTTTGAACAAGAGCAACCTGGGCCATTGCATTCGTTATTTGATTTTCATCCCCAGATATCATTTATTCCACTCTCATCGGAATTGAAACTTTGTGGTTTGCCTTCAACGATGAAGTCATAATGACTGCCCACCTGCTGGGATGTGAACAATTCGCTGGGAAAAGTCCCGAGAAACAAAGAACATACGTTTTATCGATGAAAAAGAATAGAAATGTCGTTAGTAATGTCCGACGTTTCAGTCTCGACATATTCATCTCCGTGAGATATTCCATGTGAAGATATTCCTAACCACAGCTTAACCATTCATGCGATTGGCGTCTATATTCCGAACTCCGAAAAAGATGCCTCAGTTACAGGAGCTTTTCAATTCAGCAGTTCAGCCCCTCCCTGTAGTCGAGGACAAGAGCTTCGCACCACACTTTGATACCTTTGCGGGTAATCAAGTGATTCTTCTAGGCGATGGCAGTCACGGAACATCTGAGTTCTACTCTGCACGAGCAGAGATCACAAAGCGACTCATCGAACGACACGGCTACACCATTGTCGCGGTCGAAGCAGACTGGCCGGATGCAGAGGCCATAGACCGATACGTGCGATTGCGCCCAGGTCCCAAGGCGCAAATTGGAGGAAGTGCAAAAGGATATGAACCATTCAATCGATTCCCTACCTGGATGTGGAGGAATTCTGAGATGCAACAGCTAGTTGAATGGATGCGTGATCGAAACCAGGCCCTCCCACCAGAGCAAAGAGCCGGGTTCTACGGGCTGGACCTGTACAGCATGGGTGCCTCTATCGGTGCTGTGATCGACTACTTGGACCGAGTAGACCCACGGGCAAGCAAGCAAGCACGTCTGCGGTATGGGTGTCTGGAGCCTTGGGTAGATGATCCCACTTCATATGGTCTGGCATCCCTTCGAGGCATGGAAGACTGTGAAGGCCCAGTGATGAAGATGCTTGGAGACCTTTTGGAGCGACGGCTTGAATACATCAGTTCGCGGGATGGTGATGAATACCATAGCGGCGAACAGAATGCTCACCTAATCCGTGACGCGGAGAAGTATTACAAAGCAATGTACTACAGCTCAGCGAGTTCATGGAACCTGCGCGACATGCACATGTTTGAAACCTTGGAACGCCTGTTAAAGCACAATGAGGGAGAAAAAGCCATTGTGTGGGCGCACAATTCCCACGTCGGGGATGCGCGCTATACAAGCATGGGATTTCGCCGCAAGGAGATCAACATCGGGCAACTATGCCGTGAGCGACTGGGACGCGAGAATGTGACCATTCTTGGATGCGGCACTCACACTGGCACCGTTGCAGCTGCCCATGAATGGGACGATGATATGGAGGTCATGACCGTCCGCCCATCCCGAGACGATAGTTGGGAGATTGTGGCCCATGATACTGGGGTTCCACGCTTCGTGCTCGACCTACGTCAGGATCGTATTGATCCCACTCTGCGCTCGGCTATCGCTGCTGAGCAACGCCTGCAGCGTTTCATTGGTGTCATCTACCGACCTGACACAGAGCGTGCCTCCCACTACTCGCAAGCTTTTCTTCACAAGCAGTTTGATGGTTATGTCTGGTTTGATGAGACCAAGGCTGTTCAACCCCTGGAAGTCATCCAGCCCGAAACACCGCTTGGTAAGGGAGAAACTTATCCATTTGGGCTGTAGTGGTATACTGCTTATGTTTTGTTGGTCAAATGCAAATAAATTTTATTCAGTATCTTCATCTCTTAATGTCTATGTTCCTTCAATGATTATGGCGCAGTGGCTGGCCTTCTTGAGCTAGTCGCTGGTATTTGACTGCCTTGCGTAGCACCATACCATTGCTCAGCTGATCAGTTTCCTGGCGGAAAATCTCCTGCCATGGGGTACCACTCGGGACAATGGGGTATCCCTCAGTACCCAATGATTTCCTTCGTTGTTCAATCTCATCATCGGTAATGAGAATATCAACCCGCCGTTTCCGCAAGTCAATGCGTAGTCTATCCCCATCTTCCAGAATAGCAAGATTGCCTCCTGCTGCGGCCTCAGGGCTAGCATTCAAAATAGAAGGTGACCCGGATGTTCCCGATTGTCTGCCATCTCCGATACAGAAAAGTCCGTCAATACCCTCTTTCAAGAGTCGGCCGGGTGGATGCATATTAACGACCTCTGCTGCTCCGGGATACCCAATTGGACCAACACCGCGCATAACAAGGATGGTCTTCTCGTCGATGTGTGCCGTGGTTTCTAGGCGATGTTCGTAGTCTTCGGGTCCGTCAAACACCACAACAGATCCTTCAAATGCCTCCGGGTCATCGGGGTTGGAGAGGTATCGCTTCCGGAATGCAGGTGAAATGACACAGGTCTTCATAATTGCAGAGTCGAAAAGATTTCCCTTCAAGTGGGCGAAACCGGCATCTTTCATCAATGGATCGTCATATGGTTTAATGACACGCCGATCCCATGTATGCTTCCCACGGACATTCTCGGCAAGAGTTTTGCCATTACAAGTGAGCACATCGCCGTTCAGCTTGCCCTGGTCTAATAGCTCGGCCATAATAGCCGGTAATCCTCCAGCGCGGTAATATTCCTCACCGAGATATTCCCCTGAGGGTTGCATATTCAACAGCAGTGGGATGGTAGATCCGAAAGTATCCCAATCATCCATGGACACCTCTACGCCCGCGTGCTGCGCGATAGCGTTGATGTGAATAGGAGCATTTGTACTGCCACCGATTGCAGCGTTCGCTACAATAGCATTCTCGAAGGCCTCACGTGTCATCAGATCACATGGTTTCCGGTCTGCCTCTACCATTTCCACAATCTGTTTGCCTGTTTCATAGGCGCATTGGGCCCTGTGACGGTAGGCAGCGGGAATGGCGGCTGACCCCGGAAGTGCCATTCCTAAGGACTCTGCAAGTGCATTCATCGTCGAGGCGGTTCCCATGGTATTGCAGTGGCCGACTGATGGAGTGCTGGAGTTTGTATTAGATCGTGGCCATTAACCAGGGATTCAGAAATGGCTTACCCTCGTGCAATATAATCCATAAACTCGTTTTCGTCAATCTCACCCGTAGCGAAGAGCTCTCGCCCATGCCACAGTACAGTACCTGCTCCGGTCAAAGCTTCTTTGGAGTAACCGTTGAGCATAGGTCCCACATTCATGCAGATAGCAGGGATATTCTGGAAACATCAGCATGGATCTAAGAATCTTTCAGGTCTGCAGCCCACCATTGTAGCAGCGGCCATCAGGCAAGCCGGGGTTGTCTTATCACACCCGGTAAGCAACACAACACCATCAAGGAAATACCCCGTCAAGATCTCCACCAAGCCGAGATACGCCAGATTACGATCAAGGGTAGCAGTAGGTCGTCGCGAGGTCTCCTGAATAGGATGTGTGGGGAACTCAAATGGAATACCACCAGCAGTCCGGATACCCTCACGAACACGCTTAGAGAGCTCAATGTGATGACGATTGCAAGGCGCGATATCTGAACCCGTCTGAGCAATTCCAATCATTGGCTTACCAGACATGAGCTCTTCTTTGGTGATGCCGTAGTTGAAATACCGCTCCATATAGATAGCTGTCATACCAGGGTTGCTGCGGCAGTCGAACCAAGCGGACGAACGAAGTGTTCGTCCTGGTTGTTTGACGGGGACTTGGGCATTATCTGCCTCGCTTGTGACTTTCATGCGCGTTTCTAGCTCCTGGTTGCGTCGTCGCAGGGCCTGCAACTCACTTAGACAATCCTCGATGTTGATTTGTTGGGGTTGGGCGTCATTGCTGCATGAACAGCCCTCACAGGATTTCTTGTCGGAACACGCCATGGTGTTGTAGACACTATATCTTGGGGTAGGGTGGGAAAAACATCCCATGTGAGGGGGCGACAATGGATTATATATGGCGAGCTCCCCATTAGTTCTTTGAAAAATGCGGAGTGCATTCGGGAGACAGTTCCCGAGCTCATTTGGCGTCGAATCATCGGAATAGTACGAGTTGTTGGAGTGCCCCGCGTGATCACGGAGATGAGCCGAGATTTTATCCCTCGGGATGTCACAATCCGGACATCAAGATAGCTCTTAGATATGACGTCGCCTCTGTTTCACGTTGATTTGCCATTAGTATAATTTCCAATAACTGATTCTGGTGCTCTGACTAGCTCATTGGCGAGTGAGATGGATATTACCACTCAAAAATCAAGCAGGACTGCCTCTGGACCTTAAGGTAGCTAGTGCATCTTATATGCCATTGGAGTAAATTTTGTTTGTCTCACTATTTTTCATCGCGTAAGTTATGAGGGGCCATGTATGGATGCATGCTGTCATAGCATATTCATTCACACCACAGAATTCCAGAACGAATGCGACTCTACATCAACCTGAAAACCTTGAGCAATAGCCTCAAGGTCCAGATCCGATAATTCCAAATTCAACAAGGACGATCCAAATTCAAGTGCACGATCTGCGACGCCGAGTTCTCTGGCATCATTGATAGACCCCTCCATGACCAAGTGTTCACTAGGAATGGTGTTCCCAGGGCTACTAGGGCTTCCAGTGCGCTGATTGTCGTACGCAGCACTGATCCCTAAGTGAGAAATCAACTTATCCAAAATTTCCCTAGCCTTTTCTGCTGCAGAATAGAGCCGTGTATGTTCAGAAAGAATATTTCGACAAAGAACCAGTGATTGGAACACGGTTGAGTTACTCCCTTTCTGTGCAACAATCCGTGCGTGGATCGTTGCACTGATATAGGTGGCATAAGAGAGCATGTATGGTGCACTGCTCAGAGAAAAGTGCTGCGAGTAGTCGTGGAGTATCTGAACAATTTGGTTCGCAGCTGATGTACATGCGTTCACCGACTCATGGGCAGTTGTTGAATTGATGACCCCGTCGTGGCCAATTATTAGAGGACGATGGACCAAAATGA